CATCACTATATCCTTTCAATACTGTTGGATATTGTTATAATGCAAGACATAGGTTTAAGTATTTCTTAAATACTCCAAAACTCTTTTCATTGTCATATAATGAGTTCGATTGGTATCACTCGTGAACCAACTCAGTTCATTAATAGCAAATGATATATCTGATCGCGCACACTTCGTGATATACACCATACTTCTCAATACTCTAGCACAATCCAATTATGAGTCACTTTTTGCCTTCACTCTTTTGAAATGCAAAGCTCACATTTATTGGAGACTTGACAATATTGAAATCCAAATATTTGAACTAGTCAAGTACCGTTTCAATGCAATGAGACCGCGAATATGCTAAACATTATGGAGTTCTAAGGATTCTTATACCTAAGATCGCATCAGCAACTCCAAGATTTTTCATTCCAAAATTGCTTTCTAGCATACGTTTAGTAGCATTTAAGTCATTAGTGTCTCTATTGATGATCAACATATCACCAATTATACAAACAAACAATGACCTAGTGATTTTAATGTAAACACATTTATCACTTCCATCATTCTTAAATCCATTTACCAACATAGTTTGGTCAAATATCTTATGTCATTGTTTGGGCACTTGTTTTAGTCCATAAAATGACTTAACAAGTTCGCACACTTTCTTTTCTTTACCAGAAACCACAAAACCCTCGGGTTGTTCCATGTAAATTTCTTCCTCCAATTCTCCATTTAAGATTCATATTCATTTGATGTCATATACCACAACTAACACAATTAACATCCAAATGAATGTAATTCTAGTTACTGGCGAGTATGTGTCGAAAAGATCAAGACCTTGTTTTTGTCTTGCTTTATATCTGTTAACAGTTCCATCGACTTTCATTTTCCTTTTGAGGATTCACTTTGAACCCAAAAGTTTATTTCCTGGGGAAGATCAACTAACTTCCAATAGGATTGCTCAAGATTGAACCAATCTCACTATTAACACCATCTGTCCAAAAGGATGAGTCTACAGAAGACACAAGAAATGTTACAAAATCATATTAGAAGAAAGTAGATGTCCTTTACATTTACTACACCTCGAAATCTCTTTATTAAGTACATTCTCCTTTTGTTCTTTTCAAGGTCGTTTAGACCTTTCACTAGAATACTCAAGTCTAATATTACAGTCCACTGTCTTATGTCCTATTTTAATCCTTTTAGGAATAGGAACTTGGACTTTGTCTAGACACCCTCT